CACAGTGAGGCAAATACTTTTGGAGGATGGCCTGGTGTCAAGAAGGGCACAGAGGAAGCCACTTCTCTCCAGGAAAAACATCAGGGACAGACTGATATTCTGCAAAAGGTACAGGGATTGGACTGCTGAGGACTGGGGTAAAGTCATTTTCTCTGATGAATCCCTTCCGATTGTTTGGGGCATCCGGAAAAAAGCTTGTCTGGAAAAGACAAGGTGAGCGCTACCATCAGTCCTGTGTCATGCCAACAGTAAACAGCCAACATCAAGAGACCATTCATGTGTGGGGTAGCTCCTCAGCCAGTGGCTCGGGGAACAAAACATCGACATTTTCGGTCCTTGGCCAGGAAACTCCCCAGACCTTAATCCCATTGAGAACTTGTGGTCAATCCTCAAGAAGCGGGTGGACAAACAAAAACCCACAAATTCTGACAAACTCCAAGCATTGATTATGCAAGAATCAGCTGCCATCAGTCCAAATGTATGCACGCATGACTGTAAGTCGCTTTGGATAAAAGCGTCTGCTAAATGGCATATTATTATTATTATTATTATAGGATGAGGCCCAGAAGTTAATTGACAGCATGCCAGGGCGGATTGCAGAGGTCTTGAAAAAGAAGGGTCAACATTGCAAATATTGACTCTTTGCATAAACTTAATGTAATTGTCAATAAAAGCCTTTGACACTTATGGAATGCTTGTAATTATACTTCAGTATACCATAGTAACATCTGACAAAAATATCTAAAGACACTGAAACAGCAAACTTTGTGAAGACCAATACTTGGGTCATTCTCAAAACTTTTGACCACTTTTTTTGGTTACTACATGATTCCATATGTGTTTTTTCATAGTTTTGATGTCTTCACTATTATTCTATAATGTAAAAAATAGTAAAAATAAAGAAAAACCCTTGAATGAGTAGGTGTGTCCAAACCTTTGACTGGTAGTGTATAGATCCTGAAATGGACAATTCAGTCAGTGACACATTTTGAATAGTTTTATTTTCCCATAATTGAGTGCATATGTAAACAACCATACAAACACTGCCTTTTTCATTTCGTAATTTAAACAAACTATAGTTCAACTTTTTTTTTACAAGCACGTAGATATAAATCAACCCATATGGAAGTTTAAACATTGGAACTCTCCCTGGTTCAGTGTTTTAATGTGGTTCTGAAAATAATGAGACTGAAAGCAAGAACTCACTCAAATTAGGAAAATCGAAATGTGTACAGCAATTTATAAGTTAACAATGACTCGTTGGCAAAACCGTTCTCTTGCAGAGGACATTTCATTCTCATTGGACCAGCCCACTTCAAAGGTCAAATAAAAAGTGCTCAGAAATGTTTGGGGTTGTTTTTATAACGCTGAAAGACTGAAGTAGTCTACTGTATCTCTTCCTTCTCACCAGAGGGACATATGAGTTTAAAGATGTCTATTCAGATCCAGGTCATCAACAATCAATCACATTAGTTCAGGTCTAATTACTCTGTCACTACAATGAACTAATGATTGGGGGGGATGGGAATGGTAATCGTTTGCTAATTAGTTTACAGTGGGAAAGTATTGATTGTATGGCGTCTCAATAGATCGAAAATGAGTGTACAAATTGTGGTGAGGCAAACTTTACTACAGTAGCATTGATGTATTCAGTATAATTTTCTGTTGTATACCATCCTGTGCCTTTTGCAGGGGGAGTATATAGTATATTCAACAGCCAATCGTAGCGCTCATAACAGAGTCAGTAAACTCCAGACTGACAGACCTTTTGAAAATGTATTTTTAGGCGTGTTTGGCATGCAGTTCAGTCATGGGCAAAATCGTCTTTGACATTTGAACGACTTTTTGATTGATATTGATATATCAAAGCAGAGAAACTGCCATGTTCTGCAGAGGTTGTAAAAACACTGACTGCATTTTAAAGGCAAAACACAACATTAGCTACAAAACATATGTTTAGGTCTATGCATGCAGTATTCAATTTAGTCAAAACATCATGATTTGAGAAATCTAATGCCAATTTGCCAAACCTTTTCAAATGTCAAAAATAAACAATTTGGGAAGATGTTAGACGAATGCTGCTTTTAAGCCAAGGTTATTCTAGCAATTCATGCTAGGCCATCTCTTCCTAAAGACAGTTGTAAGAGGGATATAGATGCCTGAATGTCCAGCTTCAAGGTCCATTTGGTCTCTGCCTGTTTGAGAATGCTTGTGTGGATCCAAAAGAAGCCCTATCAAAACCCTGGTCACAGGTGAGTTATAGGGATCCATAACCCTCTTGACAGGTGAGTTATAGGGATCCATAACCCTGTTGACAGGTGAGTTATAGGGATCCATAACCCTCTTGACAGGTGAGTTATAGGGATCCATAACCCTCTTGACAGGTGAGTTATAGGGATCCATAACCCTCTTGACAGGTGAGTTATAGGGATCCATAACCCTGGTGACAGGTGAGTTATAGGGATCCATAACCCTCTTGACAGGTGAGTTATAGGGATCCATAACCCTCTTGACAGGTGAGTTATAGGGATCCATAACCCTCTTGACAGGTGAGTTATAGGGATCCATAACCCTGGTGACAGGTGAGTTATAGGGATCCATAACCCTCTTGACAGGTGAGTTATAGGGATCCATAACCCTCTTGACAGGTGAGTTATAGGGATCCATAACCCTGGTGACAGGTGAGTTATAGGGATCCATAACCCTCTTGACAGGTGAGTTATAGGGATCCATAACCCTCTTGACAGGTGAGTTATAGGGATCCATAACCCTCTTGACAGGTGAGTTATAGGGATCCATAACCCTGGTGACAGGTGAGTTATAGGGATCCATAACCCTGGTGACAGGTGAGTTATAGGGATCCATAACCCTCTTGACAGGTGAGTTATAGGGATCCATAACCCTCTTGACAGGTGAGTTATAGGGATCCATAACCCTGGTGACAGGTGAGTTATAGGGCTGCATACTGAATTCTGAGAGGCCATGTTCCATATCTCTACCCCGAGGTGACAAGACACACACTTTGTTTTAGCAGTCATACATACACACTCCCTCCCTCTCTCCAGACATCACAGTCGATCCCAGGGGAGAGCAATCCATCACCGAGCTACTTTCTTTTGAAAGAGGAAAACATCTCCAATTGAATGCTGGATTCAGACTTATTTGTGTCAACCCCATCATATTGTAGGCCTCTTGAAACTGATCACAGTCAATATACAGTATCCATGGTCAATTGATTGATTATAAATGTGTTTTATATGTATTGAGCCGCAGATGATCAGTTTGTCTTTTTTGGAAATGGAAAGGCCAAATCAGAATCATAAATAAAAGCCTATGCCAATGGTCTGGCATCATGTTAAGAAGAAGGCATACAAGGTATGGTTCATGACTCGTCTTTAGCATCTTTAAGGGATAATAATACCAAACAATATACCTTTAGTAGATTGAAACCCACAACGTCTGCAGCGCACTAGAAACTCCGTGCTACAGAGCATCTAAAAAAATAGGTCACCTTTACAAATGTGAATGTGTAGTTGTTTTGGACAGTGTAGCTAGATGAACAGCATCAGTACATCAGTAGTAGGTGTTGTTTCGCTGTCATCTCGCCCAGCTAACCTACTTCCTGGGACTCCAAGCTCCCTGGAATCTCTTCATCAGCAGGAACACAAAGATACATTTTTGTCACAACAGACAACTTTGTCTTGCCAGAAACTCATGAATATTCATCTATAAATGAAGACTTCTGAAAGGTGTCGCAGACAAACAGACAACGTCCTGATGAAGCCTCTGGGGACATGGAGGAAATGGGTAGAACTCTCAGGAGGTGATCCACCCTGTCACTGGGTTTTAACTTGTATGGAAAAGAAGTAGCCCGGATACCAGTCTGTTTCTGTTTCCTTGTGGAACTGTCATGCGAAAGATGTTTGGCTTGACAATGACAGCAATGGAGTTGGCAAAAGCACCAACAGACTTGGGACCAGGCTAGAAAAATAAGACATTATAGTTTCAATATTCAATATTTAAATTCTGTTAAATGTCCAGATTATATGAAATAATGTGGTATTGTGGCATTGCACTTACCAGGGGGACAAAAGTGCAGTTGTACCATTTCAATCTAGCCTCATTTTGCCACAGTAGGAGAATACATCTTGAATTTGAAAATGTTGCTAAATGAATGTAAATGCAGGGGTTGATAAAGGTAAAACATACTATTTCAAAGCATCCAGGACACACTTCAGATGGCACTTCCATAAAGAGGTTAATTACTCATACGCACAGGGTAAGGCTAATGTCAAAGGTCAGGTGTGTGTGTGTGTGTGTGATAGATTTGTGAAGAATTGAGTATCGAATTTGGGTACCATTTGTTTTTCTCAGATTGTTTGTTTCCACAAACATTAAGACCCCACCACACCCAAACCCTTAAGTATCAACTGTTATGAAATGCTCAAAATAAACCAGGAAAACATCTTTGCACAAAGAGAAGTACAATAAACTTTATCCCCCTTTTTCACCTTTTTTTTCAATAACATACACAGCACAAACTTAAATACAAAAGCAAAATTGATCTGGCACTGTGAACAGTTGGCATTTGTCGAAACAAAACAAAAACACTGGGAAAAAATCATTTAGTTGCGTCAGTCAACGTCTTTCAAAAAAGAGGAGCCTCATTGGCAGTCACATGATCACACAGCAGTAGTAATATTAGTACCAATCGGTGCTTGGTTGAAGTTGTAGTAGCAGTAGCAGGTATAATAGTCCTAGTAACATTCTCCCAACGTATACACAATGTCCGGGAGAACCATTCCCAAGTCTGATTGTAACCAACCTATAAAGTGCTTTCTCAAAGAAAAAATATCATCATCGTCATAATCATGTTCATCTTTCACAATAATCAGAATATGAATTAGGATAACATTATGTATAACAAAGAAAAATAGAGGATAAAAAAGTCAGTTCAGGCATTAGCCTTCTCCTCTAAACCGCCTCTCCTCGCCGGCGTTTCACTTCTTGAAAGGTGTCAGTCTGCCGATGTTTTGCCAGAAGGTGGTTGCCTTGCGTTTGGGCTCAGCCAGCATGAAGACCTGCTGCTGGGGTACGGTGCTGGGCAGAGACGGGTGCTTCTGACGCAGCAGGAAGTCATAGTAGGGCCGGGTCACTGCTGGAGGAGAGGAGAACAGAGAGGGGTTAGTAATCATGGCACCCAGAATCAAATCAGCTACTAAATGTTTGACATGTTAATGTTAAGGCTGTGAGAAGAGACTAGGGGTTATAAATGTAGATAGGCAGAATGGGGGGGTGATTACGAGTGCATTTTAATCTAAAGTGTTTTTTATGAATATTAAGCACACATGATAAACAACATTTGTATAAATATTGCCAAACATGTAATCTTAAAAAAAATATATAAAAAAATAAACACGCACAACAATTAATTCATTACCCATCCACACAGCCAAGGAAATTGAGTTTTCTTGCCATGTACCCATATTCAGTCTAACCCCCTAAGGACTACACTACCCAGACATACCTTTGGGCTTCCCAGCTGGATGGCTTTTGCAGGCGTTCAGCATGGCCTGTTTCTTCTGGACCTCAGTGATGGAGAATCCTGGAGGAGGAAACCACATAGGTCACAGGTCAATGTGGATATCACAGATTCATTCTGCCAGTGCCACCCATCAATACCCAGCTTTTCAGAGGGAACAGAATAACAGAAGGCCAGATTGTTGGATGAAGTTTCGGTAATATCCGCATGCTCTGTTACAGCCCAGATAAAACCCAGAGACTATGGCAGAGAAGCGAAGGGGGCAGCTAAAATTGATTTATGGGTCCTTTTATCTGAGGGATTAATGACATTCTGATCCATTAGCTGCTACCTATTACACATACCCTTCTCTTTCCTGATTCTCTGACCGGAGCCACTGTCAGAAACGTTTATCGCAAACTATTAATGCAGCAGTAGTCTGGGGCAGAGAGAGACAGGAGGACACAGCTCATGTTTTACTAATAGGAAAAGAAACACACCCAGTGGCTTCATACAGCTGACTAGTAATACTACAGGTCAGCAGTTCATTATAGTATCCTAGTATCCTATCAGTGTTTCTACTCATTCTGCATGGCTGAGTTGCTTTAGCTAAGTAAGAATGGGTCCTTTTTCAAACTGTGGCGCACAATGATGACATGTCAGATAGAGAGACGGATAACTGTTTCACCTGTTTCGAGGTCATGCTGCACCTGCGTCCTCTCGTCCTGGAAGGCTCGGAGCCAGCGTTGTTTCTGCTCAGGCTTCTTGGCACACAGCAGGTGGACCTCATCCCCCGCCAGCGAGCGCAGCTTCAGAGCGTTCTTCACTGACACGTTGAAGTCCTTCTCCTTACCGTCCTCCACATCCACCACCTCCATCAGGTCCATGTCCATGCGACCCTTATAGTAAAGCATGTCCCTGCGCAGGAGGTCCTGAAAGAACCATAGGGATACGTGATAATACTGTTATATACTACTGTTACTAACCCTAACCCTTATAGTACATCATGGTCCTATAGGGGGGGAGAGAACTGGTACTAACCCACTTCCTAACCTTAACCCTACACTCTATCTAGAACCTAAAAGGGTTATTCGGCTGTCCCCATAGGAGAACCCTTTGAAGAACCCTTTTTGGTTCCGGGTATAACTTTTTGAGGTTCCATGTAAAATCTTTAACACAGAGGGTTCTACATGGAACCCAAAAGCGTTCTACCTGGAAACTAACCGTAACCCTAGCTTAATGTCCACATTCCGATTCAATCACAACCGTAGCCTCAACCCTAACCCTAACTAGCTTCATGACCACATTACAATCGTTTTTAACAGTGCTGCTCACCTTTTTGCAGTAGACCATCTGGTGGTCGAAGAGGAAGAACATGCGCTGCTGGCTCTTGGCCTGAGGCTGGGAGATCTTCGTCAGCTCTCCAGAAAAGATCAGATCTGAACTCATACTGAGGATGTCTTCTCCCTGAGGATGTTCAAACACACAATAAACATTTGTTAGAGCCTGCAGACATATGACAGACAGAGATTGTTCAGCCAACAAAGTTGTATTGTATATCTAGAGCCATGTGTTTGTCCTGGCAACATGACATCAGGCGTTTCTTTTAGATCAAGTCACTTGGTCAGGAAAACCTCCTGGCCTTAGTCATGGATTCTGTTCCATGACCCATGATGCACTGTTACTCACCTCCCAGTCCTCTATGGAGCTCTGCCATTGGGCGATCTTGTCTATGTTCTCCAAGCGCCGCTTCCTCTCATTGATCAGCCTGGCCACGTTCTTCATGGCGTTCAAGGCAGCCTCCACGTCCTTATAGTCCCTGGGTGGCCCAGAACAGACCAACACATCAGGCCCTCTCTGCCTTACATGATTGTTATTGGCTAATGATAGACTTATAATAGCTTTTGAACTAAATACAACTAATATGCTATCAGTGTCAGATTTTTAAAAGACATTTCAGCAATTTCAGAGAGAGTTACATTTGCAGATAAGAAGGAATACGTGCAGCTCCTTGTGTGTGTGCATAGTACACGTGTGTGTGTTTACCTATGCTGGGGGTTGGTGTATTTCAGTAGCTCGGCCAGCTGCAGAGGGTACTTGCAGATCTTCTGGACGGGCGTGAGCAGGAACCCATCCAGCGAGATGTCAATCATCTTCTGGAGCAGACGACAGGCCTCGAAGAAGAACACATACTTGTTGGTCTTCATCAGTCTGGACAACTGCACACAGGCGTTTGGGTGATTGTTACAGTACTCCGAGTAGATCTGGAAGTCTGTTTGCTGAGGAGGAGACAGGAAATGTTAACATGGCAGTTTGAAATGGCGGTTTGAAATAGTGGTTTAAAATGGTGGTTTAAAATGGCGAAATTGATGGTTGCTGGAATGTTACATGAATGTTTGGGCTCTAGAGAGGTTGCTTGACTTGAATCCCCAACAAAAAGTGTGTATAATAATACAGTAATTATCTATTAAGCAGACTTCATTTCCCCTATTACGTCATGTTATGTCATGTTTATGATAGCATTATGTAGCATTATGCAGGCCATATGACAGAAGTCAGGTGAAGAGTCACAGTGGGTTGTGTGCTGTACAATACTCACGTGTTCGAGGAAGCAGGATCCGATCTCGCTGAGGTGCGGCTGCTCCTTGTTGAACTTCTTCTCCAGACCTTTCAGTAACTTCTTCTGGAAGCGGTAGATGTCTTCGATGTTGCCGAAGATACACCGCAGCTGCTCCTCTGTGAACATGTCTATCCTCTTACGGCACTGCTTGATGTAACCCTGAGAGAGGAACAGTAGACTCATGTTACCACATGTAGAACAGACTTATATCTGATTTTACATGTTAAGAATTCCCAGAAATAACCAAGTTAAAACTTAAGAATATGTTTTGTCTTATTGGACAAGTGGTATTGTTCAGAAATACAATGTATTGTGTGCTGGTCTGAATAACTGTGCTCCTAACAAGTTATGATGGCACAAAGGCTGGTGTGATGCATTTTGATGTTATTTAGAGACAAGAGGCGGATTCTTCTGGGTGTTTTTGATGCAAATGGGTTATAAGTCCTATAATGGCCTGTATCAAAGGAAAGGGTCTACAGACAGACAGTGTTGTTGTCTGAACAGAACTTTACTGACCTCACAGATGTCTTTGAGGTGTTTGATGTAGTCTCTCTCTGTACTCATGATTTCATTGATAACGTTAGTCCTCATCTGGTCCTTACATGGCAGGCCTGGTCCCAGGATCAGACCCACCCCTGGCCGGTCCTCTTCCCCAGCACCAGCCTCTTCCAGCTGGGCTAGGTACTCCTCCATTGGCTCATCCTGGTTCACACGCAACTACAGGGACCAAGGAGAAAGGGTCATTGTTATAGAATACCCTCACTAACAGATCACTAAAGTTTAGATGCTACAAACATTTCTTATACTGTCTTATTTTTCAGTTAGGCTACCTATGTGGATCAACTGAGAAAATGTACAAACATTCATTTAGCAAGTAAGGAAATATGTCAGCATTAAAAAAAGAAAAACATCTTTGTATTTTAAAATGAGCTAATGCTTCACAGTTGCCCCAAATAGCTGACAACAGCTCTAGCACCCCTTCCAACCCTATAGCAGCAAAAATAGATATCAAAGATAGGCAAGAGAAAGAGTAGTTCATTTCTGTTGTCTTCAGTTTCCCAGAGAGATGGAGAGAGAAAAAGAGAGAGAGAAAGAGACAGAAGAAGAGAGAGAGGAGATATGGAGAGTTAGTTTCTTACCCGAACAAAGCTAGCTGGGAACCAGCCCTCACTGTCCAGGATGCGTCCCCACCACCACTCCTTGTTGGTGGCATCCACTACCTCGATGACGTCCCCCGCCTTGAAGCCCAGCTCCTGGTCGTCCATGGTGACATGGTCCCACAGGGCCTCGGCGTACACACAGCTGCCATCACTGATCAGCTGGGGAGGGGAAATGGAGAGGGGACAGACAGGGGTCAACACAGGTCAGTATGGGAGGATTTCACAGTGACATAATCAAAAATGGACAACATTTGTAATACAAGGTGAACAAGCTTGAAATACTTCACTAAGGCCCACATTTTTATTCCTGACCAGGGAAAACTCTAGTTATGGGCTAACTAGGGGCCCTGGAGGTTTTTCTGGTAAGGTGGTCCAGAAAAACTGTGGCCGTTCTTCATTCAACATGGATGACTTTGTAAAACAAGGTGAGGCCAGTTTATAAATAACATTACTGGAAGACAGAGTGGCTGATAGAGAGAGTAGAGACATGCATGATTTATAAGGTAGTAGGGCTGTACAGTATCACTCAACTAGAACACGTGACTTTAAGACATGACACAAACAAGCTATAGAATACAATTCATCATACAATGGATGACTTTACATTTACAACACAAGGTGTACACAATGTTGTTTCAACCCAGAAATGATGACAACAACAATGTTTCTACTCTGTAAGCTACATTTTAGGACAGACACAACATACTAATATTGCTGCTACAGCCCTAGATAAGCTAAGTGAGTCAGGTCCTAAAGAATTGATTGCTCTGCTGAGCCAAGTCACTGTGTCTGAGAGGGGATTGACAGAGATCAATGTGGAGATAAGAGAGAGAGGTAGAGAGAGAGAGAGGTATAGAGAGAGAGAGAAGAGAGAGAGAGAAGAGATGAAGATGAGAGATAGAAGAGAGAGGAGAGAGAGAGAGAGGGAGAGAGAAGATGAGAATCGCGATAGAGAGATAAGATAGAGAGAGAGAGCGAGATAGATGGATCAGCAGATCTCGAGTCGAGAGGAAGAGATCGGATGAACTCGTTCCTAGAGCTTCCCTCTCCCTCTCTCTCTCGCTAGTCTCTCTCTCTCTCTCCCTCTCCTCTCGAGCGGTCCTCTCTCGTACGCTCCGCTCTTGCTTCCTCCTTCTCTCACCTCTCTTTCCTCTCGCCCGACCGGCTCTCTCTCTCTCTCCTCCTCTCTCCCTCTCTCCTCTCCTCTCTCTCCCTCTCTCTCTCTCCATTCTCTCTCGCTCCTCCCTCCTCTCTCCGCTCTCTCGCCGCTCTCTCTCTATCTCGCTACTCTCGACCGCTATCTACTCGCAGCATCGAGAGATTCGAGAAAGAGAGAGATCGAGAAAGCGAGAGAGCTAAAAAGCCTGCGTTACTTATAAATGTACTGCAGTGCTCGTATTTCACACTGCCACATACACACATTACTGCGTCAACATCATGCTGGCGTCAGAGGGGCATTTGTGTTGTTCATTCTTTCATAGTAGTAGTAAGCCTTATCCAAGCCAGAATGGCCCATAGGGCAGCAGCCTATCTCCTGTTTCTATTGCATGAGCAAGTACAACACTCTGGACAGGATGCTGGCCATAATTGTATTATTGCTAAAAAAGCCACAAATATCTAACTAACTGTAATGTAACTCCTCAAGTGCAGGCTCCTATATTTATGTTAGGCCTTCATAATGTCAAGCATAGGCTAAATGATACCAGAATACGATCTATGTGTCTATTTCTATGTCGGTTCTATGGGGCTAGGGTAATCTATGTTTCTATTTCTATGTCTATTCTGTTGGTTAGGGTGATCTACTAAGTGTCTATTTCTATGTCTGTCCTGCCATCGATCCATCGTCATGGCGAGGAGGTCTTTGGGCCTGTTGCTAGGCAACACACCCACTCCATCTCGCCTCTTCTCTCCTCTGCTTTTTTCTTCTCTTCTGATCCTGCCATCATTATACAACAAAACACCAGAATATCTCATTTCACAGAGAGTAGAAACCAGGTTGAAGACATAAATAGTGTAGTATTAGCTGTACTGGGACATCAATATGAGTTTGTATAGAGGGGGAACATAGAGGGAGAATCCAAACATAAAAACACACTGTAATGTGAGTGTATCTCTGCCAGGCGGTGGATGTAAACAGTGCACTTCTCCAGCCTCAGTTTCAAAACAGCCTCTCTGTGTCCTGAGCTGCTTCGTCACCCCTCATGGCAACGCTCCAAGCCCCTAATGCTCCACACACACACACACACACCTAACCAGGGCACACATGATCCCCTTCCCTATGAAACACACACACACACAGCTGATCCCCCTCGCTCTGTGCAGCTGAACCCTAGTGAGAGCAGCCGAGCGGTAAACACCCACCTGACCCAACCTCATGGATCATCAACATGCTTACTTCCACTATATGACGATGATATATGGGTTAAACATTGGAACCTACATATATCTCATAGAGCCCTGATGTTGCAACACAGCTGGTGCTAAACAGTAGCCTGTACACAACACATTCTGTAAATTCACACATTACCAATTATCATTCAAGCAATAACTCACATATTCTTAACATACAACACCATATTGTTAAGAATAGACCCAACAACATATAGAAATGGATTATGTTCATACACATAAACAACACAAACAAGTAACAAACACAACCTGTTCCTCTTCTCCCACATTCACAACACAGGCATAGAAAAACACCTAACTACGGACCAAAAATGTACAAAATGTACAACACAGAATATTTGCTGCCGTCCATGGTTTGTCAACATCCCCCATGGTGCAAGCTAGCTAACCCGTCCCACACACTCTGGGGAAAGCAGCAGCATAGTGGTCCTATCCTCTACCCAGCACATCCATCGCTCGGCTTTACCTGTGGTCTCTTCCTCTTATCCTGGACTCCCATCCACAGCTGTACCCCCAACGCTCCACCAGGAAATCCTCCCTCTCTCCTCCTCCTCTCTTCCTCCTTCCTCCTCTCCGTTTTCCTTGATCGACGATATGCGGCGTGCGTGTGTGTGTGTGTGTGTATGACGTCGGTGTGTGTGTGTGTGTCTCTCAACTAGAAGGCCAGGAGGAACATGAGCACTACGTTGATGATGACGAGCAGCATCATGATCATGAAGACCACCACCTTTTGAGTCTCTGGGTGCAGGTTGCAGCGCAGCAAGGTGTTGAGGTAGCCCAAACGCTGCCGGGCGCGGTGAGCGCCACCGCCGCGAGCCATCACGTAGGCCCCGGCAGGGCCCTCACCCCTCCCCCCCTGTCCGTCTCGCTCCCCCTCTTCTTCTCCTCCTTCACTACCCAGCCGGCCGGTCCTCCGCCTCTCTCTTCCTCTTCTCTCCGCCAGGCTCCCCTCGTTCTGCTTCACCGCGCCGCCTTGCCGCCTGTGTCTGAGCACTCCCCTCTTCTCTCTCCCTCCCTGTTTTCCACGTCCTCGCTCTTTCTCTCTCTCTCTCTTCCTCTCTCCGTCTTCACTATTTCTTCGTCTTGTCAGGATGTGAGGTAGAGATGATGCTGCATCTTTCTTAATACATTCCTCATTTTCCCTCCACCTCCTTTAGTTTTTCTTGTCCTCCGTCCTCTTCTGTCGTTCCTCGTCCCGTATCTGGGTTACGTCCACACAGCTATTTGTGCTCCTCTAACATGGCAGCTCTTTTCCCTTTATCTCCCTCTCTCTTTCTCTCTCTCCCTCCCTCTCTTGCGCTCCCTTTTAAGTGTACTCTGAAGCTAAAATGGTGCTGGGGTCTGCCTGAAGCTGCACTAACACGGCCATCCATCCAACTCCCTGGATCGCAGTTTTTTTTCCCTTTCTTTCCTTTTTTTAACCTTCCTACCGTGAGCAGCCAATCAGGCGGCTGAGTGTGTCTCCGTATCCTGGATACCAGAGTGGATGAGGAGGGCCTTAGCAACCCCAGGGAGGGTGGGGGATGGGGAGAGGGAGGAGGGAAAGGAGGGAGCAGGAGGATGCAGAATAATAGACTGTGTGTGAGGGAAGGGAGGGGGTATGTTGGCTGTGTGTGTGCGCGCGCGCCTAGAATTTATTAGCCTCATCAGCTGACGGCTGGCCCCCGTCACTCACAGTCTTAATCAGTCTGATTAAAACAGGAGAGAACGGGATTAAAGGATCAGATTATTATACAGGATTATCATACTGCTATTTTGGCCAATTAATGAACACACAATCACTGACCTGATGAAATTATTGGATTCTCCACCTCTCTCTCTCTCTCTCTCTCCCCTCCCCCTTTCTCTTTATTCTCTCTCTCTCTCGCTCTCTCTCTCTCTCTCTCTAGCTCTCTCTGACCTGGATACCCAGGTGTAGCCAAACAGACCTACAGTATTTACTGCAGCCACCCGTATCCACTCAACCAAACAGAATATGATGAGCAAGGCCACCTCACTCCGACTCTAATTTAGACAATCTACTACAGGGAAGGCCTTTTATTTGTATTTATTTTTGGAACTCAGTCAGGGTCTCAACTTACTGTTGCGAGTTAGAATAGTAGAATACTACACAAGATGCAATTTCGAAATTTGGTTGTGCATCATCAGTTTTTCTCTTGTTATGTCAGTCAATAAGCCCATGTCAGCTAACATTTTTTAGATTGCTAAATTAGTGCAGAGCGATTAGTGCTTTTTGAGGTCAGTTTGGTTTCGGTTCGATTATAAAAACAATAATCATGTTTTTTGATTTCGGTTATGATTATTATATATTTTTTAACATTAAATGCAATATGTGGGTTGAATGCCGTAACAACACAGAATAAAACAATTAATAAAAGTCCCATGATGGTAGTGACTGCCCATTACTGCTTATCACTTATTAACCATCATTTATTCACATTACTTTAATAAAATATTTTAGTTGCTGTGTATATTCTATTTGTTTTATATGATTACTTTATTATTTCATTTCAAGTCATCATCTCATCTCTATAGAGCTGCTGCCTATGCTGAGAAATCACTATTTTGTAGTTCTTCAAAGTAAATAAGGCATACTTTTATGACTGCTGAATACCAACTATCAATCACTTTGATTATGTATTTTCAGGTAGAGATACCTCACGAAGCAACAGCTGCTCTCTATATCCCCTCAAGATAGCGCAATCTTCTCTCTCTTCCATAGCAGGCGTAAAAGAAACACAGACCGGACAAGTAGATGCGCAATGGATTATGGTCATTGTAGTTAATTACCACGTTTTATGCGTTTATGTAGAATATTGACCCTGTTGGAAACTGCAACTGCAACAATTAATGTGTGATCTCGCTCTCCATGGCCAATGTGAGCAAAACGTTTACAGGTTAACAATCACAAAGCGATCAGGCCAGACGGACTACCAGGGCACGTTCATAAAGAATGCGCTGACCTGCTGGCAGGTGTCTTCACAGACAATTTCAATCTATCCTTGTCCCAGTCTGTAATCCCAACATGTTTCAAACGGACCAAATGACTATCGCCCTGTAGCACTCACATCTGTAATTATAAAGTGTTTTGAAAGGCTGGTCATGACACACATCAACACAATCATCCCAGACACCCTAGACCCACTCTAATTCGGATACCGCCCCAACAGATCCATTTCGGAACTGGTCCAACATTTTGGACCCGTGAAGACCTGTAATACAGTGGCTTGCGAAAGTATTCACCCCCCTTGGCATTTTTCCTATTTTGTTGCCTTACAACCTGGAATTAAAATAGAATAGTTTGTATCATTTGATTTACACAACATGCCTACCACTTTGAAGATGCAAAATATTTTTTGGTGAAACAAACATGAAATAAGACAAAAGAACAGAAAACTTGAGCGTGCATAACTATTCACCCCCCCAAAGTCAATACTTTGTAGAGCCAGCTTTTGCAGCAATTACAGCTGCAAGTCTCTTGGGGTATGTCTCTATAAACTTGGCACATCTAGCCACTGGGATTATTGCCCATTCTTTAAGGCAAAACTGCTCCAGCTCCTTCAAGTTGGATGGGTTCTGCTGGAGTACAGCAATCTTTAAGTCATACCACAGATTCTCAATTAGATTGAGGTCTGGGCTTTGACTAGGCCATTCAAAGACATTTAAATGATTCCCCTTAAACCACTCGAGTGTTGCTTTAGCAGTATGCTTAGGGTCATTGTCCTACTGAAAGGTGAACCTCCGTCCCAGTCTCAAATCTCTGGAAGACTGAAACAGGTTTCCCTCAAGAATTTCCCTGCATTTAGCGCCATCCATCATTCCTTCAATTCTGACTAGTTTCCCAGTCCCTGCTGATGAAAAACATCCCCACAGCATGATGCTGCCACCACCATGCTTCACCGTGGGGATGGTGTTCTCGGGGTGATGAGAGGTGTTGGGTTTGCACCAGACATAGCGTTTCCCTTGATGGCCAAAAAGCTAAATTTTAGTCTCATCTGTCTCAAGAGTGCCTTTCTTTAAGCAATGCCTTTTTTTTCTGGCCACTCTTCTGTAAAGCCCAGCTCTGTGGAGTGTACGGCTTAAAGTGGCCCTATGGACAGATACTCCAATCTCCGCTGTGGAGCTTTGCAGCTCCTTCAGGGTTATCTTTGGTCTCTTTGTTGCCTCTCTGATTAATGCCCTCCTTGCCTGGTCCTTGAGTTTTGGTGGGCGGCCCTCTCTTGGCAGGTTTGTTGTGGTGCCATATTCTTTCAATTTTTTAATAATGGATTTAATGGTGCTCCGTGGGATGTTCAAAGTTTCTGATATTTTTTTTATAACCCAACCCTGATCTGTATTTCTCCACAATTTTGTCCCTGACCTGTTTGGAGAGCTCCTTGGTCTTCATGGTGCTGCTTGCTTGGTGGTGCCCCTTGCTTAGTGGTGTTGCAGACTCTGGGGCCTTTCAGAACAGGTGTATATATACTGAGATCATGTGACAGATCATGTGACACAGATTGCACACAGGTGGACTTTATTTAACTAATTATGTGAC